TTTAAAAATAACTGCAGGTTTGTAAAGCTCTCTGTGTTGGTTTTTCAGCAAGATTTTTAAGACCTTTTTTGACAAAATGACCAGAATGGTCAGTGTTGAATTTAGAACATTTCTGGAACCTGAACAAGCGTTCTCTCTGAAAGACACAGTGTCACCTCGTCTATACACTCTCATCCCTAAATAATAATAATAATTACAAAAAACTGCTCAATTTGATCATTTTGAGACAGTAAATCAAACCTGTACGAATGATACGAACGATGTCAGCGTGTCAGTGTGGAGCTTTGGAGGTCTGTCAGCTCTTTATTTCACTGAACGTTCTAACAGTTCTAGCTCCAGCTGTCTATCAGCAGCATTGCATCTGATTATGGAGCTGAGAGTTTATTAGGAAAACGACACTGAAAGATTATTTTATTATTTAATTTAGTATCTACTTTATTATCTTCAGAAACTCTCAAACAGAACAGTGAAACTCACATTTGATCTGATTAAGTTCTAAACTAAGGACACGGTACTTTCAGAACCTTTAGAACCTTCAGGACCTGCTGAAACCTCACAGCCCTCACTGTTACTGTGTGGGAGATACAGATGATTAATGAAAATATGAGACTAAAAAGTTCTTAATATTTTCACTCACAAAATCAAAAACACCGGTCATGTGATTGGGGTGCCCAAACTTTCAAACATGATGGTCTCTGATCAAACTGGAATGTGTGTTATTGGTGCAAATTAGCCAAACACAGTTTGTCACAGTTTGTTGTACAAATTATCTAATTTAGAACATTTAAGTGGATAACCTCATGTTCCATGGTTTAAATTCATGTTCCCCAGGTTCTTCAGGTTCTTCATGTCTCACTCACTACTCCAAACTGTTTCTCAGTCTGAGCTGTGATCTACGATGGACTGAAGCATCAAAAATGAGGTCCTGCCCAAGAACTTTTCCATCTCACCTCACTTTTAAGCAGTATTCTTGTTTAAACAATAAAATACTGGAATTCTGGAAAACTCTTGTATTTTACTTGTTTCTTCTTTTTTAAGCCATAAGAGCTACGTCTGTAAGTACACTACACTTTTAACTACAATAAAAATGCAGAATCTCACACTCTAGATGCAACACAATTCAGATATCACTCACTTGTGCATTAAAAGCCACAGCTGGCTTTCAATCTTTAATTCAGAACAAACAAATTACAGATTTGCTAAATTTCTTGTGGAAACTCCAAAAAGTGTTTCTTTCAAACTGAGAAATGAGACTTTATCCAGCAGAAGGTCCCCATGATTAGATCAACTGTACAAGCTGTCAAATATTTTTTTTGCTAATTTGTCTCAAAACAACACACATTCCAGTTCAAACAGATATGAATGATCTTCATTTCAGGCTGAAAACCTACCAGTAGTATCTGTGAAGTTAATATTAAGATTTTTTTTCTTCGCAAACATCTAGGAAACTAAGTAAATCAGTGTAATGGAGTTTTATCAAAACACTTTTTCACTAAATAAACAGGGGAAAAAACACCCTCTACGTTGTCCTGCATGCCCCCGCGGACACACATAGGGGAAAAAAATAACTCTCCAAATCCCTTGTAGGCAAAACAAGGCTGCCGCCATGCTAAGCGGGCCAAATCCAGCCTGGGCAGCGCTCGTTTTCATCTGGGCTTGCAGTGCTGTCTGTCTGCATAGCTGAACTGAGATGACCCCACCAGCAGCAGCACACAGCGCGTACTGTCCTGCAGCCCGGCCTGAAAACTCACACCGCTGAACACGCGGTGTCCCACAGGGCTCCGGACTCAGCCCTCTTGCCGGTTTTCCACGGACACGCCCTCGGACCTTCTCTGGCCGGCTGATGCTCTGCGGTTTGAGTGCGGAGACATGAGCTCAACATTTCCTACCTTTAAACACAGAAATGACCACCAGCAGGACCGAACTGCAGGTCACTTTTAGCGTTAGGAAATGATTAATCACGCCTCACCTCACATAGTATGTATATAAAAATAACTGCTCCCCCCTAAATGTAAGTCAAATGGGAAGGAGAGTATGGCTGAGCGATTTGGGAAAAATACGTATATGTTTTTCCCACACCGCTGTATAAAATGTGTTGTATATAATACAATTTCTTTGGATCAATATTAAAATTGCGATTTAAATGCAATCAATTTTCTGTAAACTAAGCTCTATGCTTCTGTTCCACCAAATACAACGCTGAATTATGCAAATTGTAATTAAAAACTGCAGCAGACTTCAACTTGCTTTAAATTTCACTTTTAATTGAATTGTTATCTAACAGTAGCTTAAACTACTCAAACAGACACTCAACTACTCTACAAAAATTCAAATTAAGAATGGCAACTCAGACTACACATCCACAGCAGGTGATGAAGTTTACAGCGAGAAAGGCGTCAATTTAGTCTTTAAGATACAACCCCATTTTCAAAAAAGTTGGGATGCTGTGCGGAATGTAAATAAAAATAGAATGCAATGATATGCAAATCATGTAAACCATATTTTTAAAGAAAATACTACGAAGATATCAAATGTTGAAACTGAGAAATTGTATTGTTTTTGGAAAAATATATGCCCCTTTTGAATTTGATGCCAACAACACATTCCAAAAAAGTTGGGACGGGGGCCTGTTTACCACTGTGTTTCATCACCTCTTCTTTTAACAACACTCTGTAAGTGTTTGGGAACTGAGGAGACCAATTGCTGTAGTTTTAAAAGTGAAATGTTTTCCTGTTCTTGTTTGATACAGGATTTCAGCTGCTCAACAGTTGGGCCTCCTTTGTCGTATTTTATATAATGTGCCAAATGTTTTCAGTGGGTGACAGGTCTGGACTGCAGGCAGGCCAGTTTAGCACCCAGACTCTTTTAATACGGAGCCTCGCTGTTGTAATATGTGCAGAATGTAGTTTGGCATCATCTTGCTGAAATAAGCAAGGCCTTCCCTGAAAAAGACGTCATCTGGATGGCAACATATGTTGCCAAAACATGTATATATCGTTCAGCATTAATGGTGCCTTCACAGATGTGCATGTCATCCATACCCTGTGACACAGTGTCCATGATTTCCAAAAAGAATTTCAAATTTTGATTGTCCACAGAACACTTTTCCACTTCACCTCAGTCCATCTTAAATAAGTTCAGACCCAGAGAAGGCGGCGGTGTTTCTGGATCCTGTTTATATATGGTTTCTACTTTGTGTTTTAGAGTTTTAACTTGCATTTGTGGATGCAGTGATGAACTGTGTTCACAGACAGTGGTTTTTCAGAGGTGTTTCTGAGCCCATGCAGTGATTTCCACTACAGAATCATGTCTGTTTTTAATGCAGTGCTGCCTGAGGGCCCAAAGATCACGGCCAGCAAACACTGTTTTTTGGCCTTGTCCCTTACATACAGAGATTTCTCCAGATTCTTTTAATCTTTTAATGATATTATCACATAGTATCATAGATAATGAAGAGTAAAAGTTCTTTGCTATATTATGCTGAGAAATGTTATTTTTGAATTGTTGCACTATTTGATTGTGCAGTCTTTCACAGAGTGGTGAACCCCTCCTCATCTTTACTTCTGAAAGACTCAGCCTCTCTGGGATGCTTTTTTATACCCAATCATGTCACTGACCTGTTGCCAATCAACCACTAGGTGTTTTTTTTTAGCATTACACAACTTTACCAGTCTTTTGTTGCCCATGTCCCAACTTTTTTGGAATGTGTTGTTGGCATCACATTCAAAATGGGCACATATTTTTAAAAAAAGTTTCTCAGTTTCAACATTTGATATGTTGTCTTTGTACTGTTTTCAATTAAATATAGCGTTTAAATGATTTGCACATCGTTGCATTTTGTTTTTATTCACATTTTGCACAGCGTCCCAACTTTTTTGGAAATGGGGTTGTAAAATGCTGATGTTTTGCTGCTGCAGTCTGCAGCAGACGGTGTGTGGTAGCCTTTAGATGGCTTCAGTAGTCTTTGGATGGTGTGTGATAGCTTTTAGACGGCTTCAGCAGTCTCTAGACGATTCGTGGTAGCATTTAGATGGTGCGTGGTAGGCTTTACACGAGTTTAAATAAAGGTTGATTGATTTGACTGAAATAAAGACAAACACATTTAAGAATGAACTCATTCAAAAAACCAGTTCAACTCAGGTCCCGAGTGATAAACGTTTGATAGAATACAGTCGGATAATAACGCACAGCTGAAAGGACAGAATTATGTTTTGAGTTTGGCCACCAAAAATTTTAATGCATACTTGTGTAAAATATATTTTAATGGATGAAAATGTTTGGATGAAAATTGAAAAAAAAAGTTATAAGCCTGCAGTGATGTGTCAAAATCTATGACTCTACTATAATTCTATTATTGTAAAATAAGAAACAAGAAAATGGCAACGATTAGAAATGCCGACAAGTCCCCGCGAGCTCACCGGCGCTGTCTGAGCTCTGAGAAACATTTACAAACCACAAACAGCAAAAAGTAATAATAATAATAATAATAATAACGGAGTTCACTGCAGTCAAGGATGCTGGATATCACAGACAGACTCAGCATCGAGTACATTTGCTTTGTGTAAACTGATTTTATTGTCAGCGTTTTTCACTTTTCAGTTTCGGTTTTTGGATGAGTGTGTCTGGCATTTTGGTTTCAGTCATGAATTTTCATGTCGCTGCTTTACTAATTTTATCTGTTCAGAAAGACTGCAGAGCTGAACTAAGTGAGCTAACTGATATGTCAATTTATTCATTAGGGTTTTTCAGTTCATTATAATAGTATCTGTCAGACATGATTAATGTATTTTTTTTTGGTAATGTTAATCTGGTCTCAGTATCGTCTACAACACTGTCAGTTATTCAAACACACAGTTACCTTCATCAGCTGAGCACTCTTTTTGAACTAAAAATTAAACAAACTGTACACCATGGACAATAATTTTGATGAGACTAATAACAGGAGAAAAGGATGAAAGCGGTTATCCTGACTGACCGTGTATGGTGTTTATGGCTCGTACCTCGTTTGTGAAGCCATCCCTCCTTCACAATCACTACTTCACCCATGATGCTCTGTAGAAGATCTGTCTGTAAGACCTTCACTCAGTCCAGCAGGTCAGATCTTCAGTCTGCTCATCCAGCCGGACACAAAGCCTACAGAGAAACACACCACAGCACTGCATCAGCCCTGTGATCTTCTCCAGGAGAAAGCACTCTCTAAACATCACGCGGCAATAACAGGCGAGGAACCGCGGCTGGTCATCACAGCTCCAATCAATCAACCTTTATATCAACTCTGAGTACACTGAGGGAGACCCTCATTTACAGTGTAGCTGAGCCAAAACACATAAGCGATTGAAAAAATGACATTGTAAAAACATATCAAATGAAAAATGATTCGAATAATAATAAAAGTAATGTTAATACTAAAAAAAAACTATCAAATCCGAATAAACTGGTAAAACCGCAAAAATAAAATAACTAAATAAATAACAGATCAAACAGGGGTGATAAAAAACTCAGAATTAACTAAAAAGTAAAAGTTGATGACATGAAAAAAATAATAAATGTAAAACAATAACTAAAACATACCAAAATCAAATTAAAATTTAGCACAGGGGCCTTTTAGCCTTTAGCGCAGGGGTCTTTAACGCAGCGGCCCGTTAGCCTTCAGCACAGCGGCCCTTTAGCGCAGCAGCCCCTTAGCCTTTAGTGCAGCAGCCTTTTAGCCTTTAGCGCAGGGGCCTTTTAGCCTTCAGCGCAGCAGCCCTTTAGCCATTAGCGCAGTGGCCCTTAAGCCTTTAGCACAGGGGCCTTTTAGCATTTAGCACAGCGGCCCTTTAGCACAGCTGCCCTTCAGCACAGCCCTTTAGCCTTTAGTCTTTAGAGTTTCAACTTCTCAACAAATGAAAAACAATACATTTGACCTTTTTTGTGAAAAAATCATATAGAATAACAAACAAAATAACTGATAATCCAAAAAAAGAGCGGGACAGTCAATATACGTTTTTTTGTTGGAGGGGCTCAAATGTTGTTTTTCCGTTCATTTTGTGTGATTTCTTGAAATTAGCCCGAAACTGTATGAAACAATCACACATAAATCAAATTAACTGAAAAATTCTTGCTATAGTCACTCATTACAGGTTTGCCATAACCAACTCCCATGCTGAGTGACCGCTAAACCTGCTACGGCGCCGGTTCTCACAAACACACAACATACATTCAAAATCGAAATCATCACACTAATGAAACAACTCTAACACTAACAGGAAATAAAAATTAATCTGAAATATTGGGTGACACTGTGACCATGTCGCCAACATTAAAATGAATGTTCCATTAAATCTGAAAGAGTTTGTTGTTGAGGTGAACAGATTTGATCAGACAGACTGAAGCTCAGCGTGAGAATCAGCTCATAATCACAGTTCTGTAAATATGATTTTACAGAAGCAAATCTGAATATAAAATGATACATTTAATTAAATATGTACACACACACACACACATACATATATATATATATATAGTGACTGTGAAAAATTGATGATTGCTACGGGTACAATGCCACCATCTGCTCATTACCGCAACAAATATTTGATATCTTGTCAAATCTGATTGATCAAGCGGCTTGAGCTTTTATTGATTAGTATGAAGCAATAAAACACCATCACTTTCTCTTTAATCTTCATGGTTATAAGCGTTCTGCTTTTATAGAGTAGCTAAACGCGAAACGTCCAGTTTAAGTGACTTTTAATTTGTTATATTTTTTCCTGTGGGGAAACGTGTGGTGACTCTGAATGAGAAAACATGACCAGCAGATGGCACAGTTTTGTACTGTTCAAGAAAGAAATCTGAAAATGAAAATATTCGTTGCAGAAAAACACGCTGGACTTTTCCACACTCAGTCTGAGTCGATTAAACTGACGCACCACAACACAGTGTAAAATTTTTAATCAGAGCTTGATTTTCTGCTCTGCATGGATGCGTTAAAAATACAGCTGACCAATCAGAGCTCTGTTGTCATGGTTACAGTCTAAGTGAATCTGCAATACGACTCAAGCTTGTCTTGCTTGTAGCATCAAAACTTAAACAAAGAGCAGCTGACTGTAAACCCGCATAGATTACAGTAAATATATAACGGACTGCAGCTGAACGTCTGGACTGACAGTGAGAATCTCAGACTGTTTACAGCTGTGTGTTTATGAGGGTGAAGCGAGTCTGTTCATGTCGGTCTGTGTGTTTGTGTCCAGCAGCGATAATAAATCATCACAGATACTAAGAATCGATTTTCCTTCTTCTCATTTTCTCAGTGTTTAAAGGGCCCACATCATGGAAAAGGGGGATTTTTTATGTAACATGTAAACATTACTAAAGTTTAAAAACATAACATTCACTAACCTGCACAAACAGCCTTTTCAGAGTAAACGCACAAGCATTATTCAGCCCACAGCAGTTTAGCCACGCCCATTCGGTTTACAGCAATTTAGCCCCGCACATTCAGCCCACGGTTTAGCCACGCCCATTCAGTCTACAGCAATTTAGCCCCTCATATTCAGCCCACAGCAGTTTAGCCCCGCCCATTCAGCCCACAGCAGTTTAGCCACGCCTATTCAGCCCACAGCAGTTTAGCCCCGCCCATTCAGCCCACACCAGTTTAGCCCCGCCCATTTGCAATGAAATGCCTTTCAAACAAAGCACAATACAGGACAGCCAATCAAAACAGAGCTAATTTACATACATCAGTCCTAAAGGTTCTATAACAGCCTGTTAAATAGTGAAAGATAAATAAAGGCATAAAAAATGATCATATAGAAATGAACTGTGAATTTTTTAAAAAATAAGACAGAACCCTTTAAACAGAATCAGATCAGCTGTCGTCTGTTGTTTTTTTAATCCCAAAAAAAATAATTGTAGTTGGTGTGAACAGATGTTAAAGCACATAGATGCCTTTAGCTTTTAGCTGGAATGCAGAGAAAAAGAACACCTACACACACCCAACCCCCCTGCCTGAACTGCAGGTATTCTACACAAACAGAGGAGAGTCAGAGGCTGGGCGAGTCGACAGGACGCTGGAAGAGAGAGAGAGTGAGAGAGAGAGAGCTGCAGACTGTCTTTGAGCTGCCCCGCCCAAAGCCACCACGCTGCGGGAGGAAAAAAAACAGACTCTGGGCGAGCGGCCAGGCCTGCTCTCACTGCAGCACGAACTCAGTAACCTCGGAGAGAGAGAGAGAGACAGAGAGAGCGAGAGAGAGAGAGAGCGTACACATGCTCTCCCACTCTCTCGGGGCGGTCACCGGGGCCGCCTGCCTCATTCAACATTTCTACCCTCGCTCACGGCTGAGAGTGCAGAGGAAGAGAGAGAGAGGCATAATTTAAAGCTACAGATCAACCAACATTTACCCAACCCCATCCCACCTGACGCCACCCAAATGTAGCCTATTTACGCTGCAGCTACGAGGCTAATGTGGCTAACAGGTACTGGAAATGTCATGTCACACATTTACATACATCCACCTTTTCAGCCTACAGCAGTTTAGCCCCGCCCATTCACACTGAAGTTATAAGTGTGTTATAAGAGTGTTTCAGCCCAGACTGCTTTTTAAAGAATTCACAATAAAGGAGAGCCATTCAGAACAGAGCTTATCTGCATATATCATTCTTCAAAGTCACAGTCACAGTACTAGCCTGTTTGGAAAATAATCATGTATAAATGAATTATGACTGTTTTTGACACAAAATCCACACAAATCTCATAACTGGACTTCAGGGAAATAAAATAAAACCTTCTTAAAGAATGCAAACACTTTAGTGGGGCATATTTGAGGGCTGTTTGAATTTTTTCTGCTAGCTGGCTCACTAGCTGATGCTGTTGAGTAACACAGAAGAAAACCAGAGAAATTACTGCTAGAAATAAAACATTCTTTTTCAGCTGACTTTGCTAACTGTCTTCGTACCATGGCGATGGAGAATGAAGATTACTCGAGCAGAAATGACTCGTCAGATGAGGAAGATGACAGGCTAAAAGCTAAAATTATCCAGTTCGCTCCCTAGCTAGCTCAGTTTGGCTCTGGCTGAGAACGTACACCGATCAGGCAAAACATTATGACCATCCTTGTTTCTACGCTCATTGTCCATTTTATCAGCTCCACTTACTATATAGGTGCACTTTGTAGTTCTACAGTTACAGACTGTAGTCCATCTGTTTCTCTGCATACTTTGTTAGCCCCCTTTTACACTGTTCTTCAGTGGTCAGGACCCCCATGGACCCTCATAGAGCAGGTACTATTTGGGTGGTGGATCATTCTCAGCATTGCAGTAACACTGATGTGGTGGTGGTGTGTTAGTGTGTGTTGTGCTGGCCTGAGTGGATCAGGGTGGGAACAGCGCTGCTGCCACACAAACAGGAAATCAGCCATAGAGCAGACCGTCTTATTTCGGTTCAGCCTTCGCAGGTCTATGCAGTACCTGAATTGGGACACAACTCTTAATTAAACTGTTCAGTGTACAGTGTGATATCCACCACGCTATCCACACGTTTTGCCTCGCCGTATTTTCCACAGCCAGGTGCACTAAACTCTTCAACCTTTTTTCAACTGAATAAACAAAGAAGAAAGTTACCTTCTTTCACATTCAAATACCCTAAGTGCTAACGCTAGCTAGCTGCAGTGATGTATTTATTAGCCTATAGGTCAATGGCTAGGCTAACACTCAAGCAATTATCAAAGCTTGCATGACATATTTGCATATAATGATACAGAGTCACAAATTCTGTCAAAACATTGTGAGAAGTGTGTGTAAGTAGAACAATAGAACAGAACAAAATAATGACATTTATACATTATAAGCTAGTTTTAAGTCAGAATGTCAGATTGTAGCGTCTCTAATAGTCTTGATTATGTGGTTTCTGACTCGCAGTTATCTATAAACATGGACTGAAGTACGTAAGCATAGCTAATTTTCTAATTTTGGAACATGAAATTCGACTGAGACGCTGGTGAATAGGAAGCCAAACTCACTTTAGGCATGCAGTTAGCACCATGCTAACTGGTGGGGTATAAGCATTCCTTGTTAGCTACATTAGCCTTGTAGCTCCAGTGCTAACGCTAAAAAGCAAACTTAAGCGACAAATCATGTCTTGGCTGATGGACTACATTTGTCAGATCATTTGCTAAAATGATCTAAATTATACATTTTTTCTTGAAAATTTGCTTTAATAGGAGTCAGGGACCCAGCTCTCCCGCTGTGTCACTGTGATTCACCTTTTCTTTCCTTTTATCAAATTAAAGGAGGCCACATGAACTCGTCTTTTGTGCCAATGCAAAAAACAACAGCTCAGAAACACCAGAGTTTTATTTTTCCATGCATAACATCTGATTCCCTTCAATTTACAGGCAACAATAAGCACATAAACAGATATCACAGAGCTGTTTACCAAGCCAAATATAAAACTAATTTCCAGACACATCTCCTGAATTCTAATTACTCTGGGCAAGACAGCACGGTCCTGAATTACCACTTTTAGAGTTGTTTGTTTTCACGTTTGGTTTCTTAGCAACTGCCGTCCCCCTCGGTTGTGAACGGACCACCTTGAGCGAACTGAGGATGGAGAATCAGCCTCCGTTTCAGTCCTCCTCAGCAGAAGCTCAGAAAAATGTTCCATTAGCAACTACACCGCTTTCATCTGGTAGATTTAGGGCGCCACCCCACCCTTTACAACTCAATCTCAATATTTATTAGAGGACATGACTGAATGGAATTTTCCACTAAAACTTCTGAATTTCAAGGATTTCCTTCTGAAAAAAGAAGTTCACAAACACAATGAAGTACTGACAAATGCAGTTCTCTTCCCCACGGCTTCAGGAATGATTGTTTTTACGGATCTCTACTGGCCCCGTCCCAAAACTCTTTAAAGCCATTTATAAACCCCTAACATCTGATAAGATCAGTGTGATCAGCAAAGTCAGTGATCTGCACTGCTGTTTTCTGAATAAGCAGACCCGTCCAAATAATCTCTCAACAGGTTCCATAACAGTCTGCTATTTATATTTATCATCATTTAATAACAAGTTTTTAAATCAGCCGATTCCTTGACAACCTTTAGCTTAAAGTTTCTGCCAGTCAAACTGAACTTTTAATGCCTGCATGGTTCCTAAATCACAAACACAGTGTCATGAATATGATTATAAAGCCACACAGAGCTTAAAGACTTCCCTGTTAATTATACTTCACAGCTGTGCTGAGTAAATGTCACATTTAACTGCACCGAAAACAAATGAAACAGGTTTGGGGAAAGAAACTCTGACCACAAGACAAATGTCAGGTTACTGGTCTGGTAATGAGTACAGTTAGTTAATGCAGTTATGATAGTTAGTTGAATGCAGTGAGTATAGTTAGATGTAGTTGAAAGTGTGAGTATGTTTAGTTAGATGTAGTGAGTATAGATCGTTGAATGCAGTGAGTACAGTTAGTTAGATGCAGTGAGTACAGTTAGTTGAATGTAGTGAGTATAGTTAGATGTAGTGTGTATAGTTAGATGTAGAGAGTGTTGTTAGTTGAATGCAGTGAGTACAGTTAGATGTAGTGAGTATAGTTAGTCGTAGTGAGTACAGTTAGTGAGATGTAGAGAGTATACTTAAGTACATGTAAGTACAGTTAGCAGTTAGTCAGATGTAGCGGGTATGGTTAGATGTAGTAAATACAGTTTGATATGTATATATTTAGTTAGATGAGTAGTGAGTTTAGTTAGTTGAATGCACTAATTACAGTTAGATGCAGTGAGTATAGTTTAATACAGTGGGTATAGTTAGATGCAGTGAGTATAGTTTGATGCAGTGGGTATAGTTAGATGCAGTGAGTATAGTTTGATGCAGTGGGTATAGTAAACATGCAACTTGAGTATCAGGATTATATCTGGAGGCCAAGCCACATAAAAACGCAAGTGTAAACACACCCCAGACGCATTTAAAACAGGTACAAATCTGATCACTCAGACTAGTTTAGGAGGTGGACTGAGACACATCCGTCTCTCCAAGACACATTTAACAAACAAAACCCTCCCAGTACAACCTAAGCCCCTCCCAGTACAACCAAAACTCCTCCCAGTACAATCAAAACCCCTCCCAGTACAACAGAAACCCCTCTCAGTGCAACTGAAACTCTTTCCAGTACAACTGAAACTCCTCCCCATGAAGTGAGTCTGTGAGGAAGATAATCATGGAGGACACACATGGTCAGACACGACTGTACAAAACACACTGCAGATGAAGAGGCTGAACAGATAAACAGTTGGTAACTGGTTGCTGCTTAACAAGCTGATTTGCATATTCCATCCCACACAGCAACTGGATTTGAGTCCCACTAACCAGAGATGCATTTGACTACCAAGTGTAAATACATGTGGCTAAAATCTTATCAGGACACAATCTTGATACTGGACACAGTAAGTGACCAGGTGAGGCTTTGGATGGGACTCTGAACAGCAAAAGACTTTTCCAAAGTCACAATTTCTTTCATACAAAGTGCCCACTTTACCCCGTTAAACAAAACACCTTTTTAGCTGTTTCATTGTGAGTGGGCGTGAGTCGGTCACTGAACTCATTATTAATATAATGATGGAGTTCATGTTTCCCTTCAGTCACATGTTTCATTGTTTTCACTATTCCAGCAATCCATCATGCTCTCTCTCTAATCCACTGTCCACTCCTCACCGCTATAATTAGGATGGTTTACAGCTAAATTACAAGGAATTACAAGGAAACCTAAAAATATGTGCACAGTGGTTGACGGAGGAGATCAATATCAGCTCCTGAGGAGTAAAGGCCACTCTGACATCTTCATGTTTCTGATCTGGTAGAGATTTCTTTGAAACTACTTTGCTCACCAGTGCAGCTGGATATGGACTCCAGAGTTCCAATTCTTATGTTCAGAAGATTAGCTGAATCAGGCGTGTTAATCAGGGTTGGACCTGAAACTACAGTAATTACTGTAAATTATTCAGTGTCTACTATGAATTATTCAGTACCTCCTATGAATTATTCAGTATCTACTATGAACTTTTCAGTATCTACTACAAATCATTCCATATCTACTATGAATGATCCCGTATCTACTACGAATTATTCCGGATCCTCTATGAATGATTCCGTGTCTGCTATGAATTATTCAGTACCTCCTACGAATTATTCAGTATCTACTATGAACTTTTCAGTATCTACTATGAATTTTTCAGTATCTACTATGAACTATTCGGTGTCTATTATGAATTATTTAGTAACTACTATGAATTATCCAGTGTCTACTATGGATTATTCACTATCTATTATGAATTATTAAGTATATACTATCTACTACAGACTAAGCTATAAAAGGACATCATGCCCCAGACTTACTTTCAGTGTTACAGTAATTCATATGTCTCCTTTTTTGACGCAGAAGGTGTTTTGGCTGTAAAGTGTGAAGGCTGCTCCTGAGGAGACATCTCAGACTTTCTCAGCACCGTTACAGCACATCTCAGACTTTCTCAGCACCGTTACAGCACATCTCAGACCTTCTCAGCACCGTTACAGCACAGCTCAGACCTTCTCAGCACCGTTACAGCACAGCTCAGACCTTCTCAGCACCGTTACAGCACATCTCAGACCATCTCATCACTGTTACAGCACATCTCAGACCATCTCAACACTGTTACAACCAATCTCACACCCTCTCATCACAGTAACAGCACAACTCAGACATTCTCATCACTGTTACAGCACATCTCAGACCTTCTCATCATTGTAACAGCACAGCTCAGACCTTCTCATCACTTCTCAGCACAGCTCAGACCTTCTCAGCAGCCTTCACAGTCATACTCAGACTGACCACAGCTGTGTCCATTTAGGCCATTAACCAACCAGGCTTCAGTGGAGGAGCGCTTATCTTCTGTTTAGCAGCAGATACGGTGGTAAGGTCAAGCTCTGGATACGTCCTAGCGTTCTTTGTTTCTTTCTCAGCGTGCGTGCAGCTGTTTTGTTTTTAGTTGCAGTTATCTCCGCGAGCTGCTCTTGGAGCCGAGTAAGCGCGAGCAGCACAAGCCGAGTCCCCACAGCAGCCTGAACTCGCCCATCAGCCTCCAGAAGTAAACGCACCCTTAAGAATACGCACCACATACCCAGCGCCGCCTCACGCGCGCCCCTGGCACATGTCACGGTGTGCAGCAGGATCTCGCGCTGTAAAGTCCATCAGATTTCTCCTCGTGAAGCCCCTGTTCCCTCCTCGCGACGTTCTCCATATAACCTAGTCTCTCAGTTCTGTAGTGGAGCTGCTGGAGAACTCAAACAGCGCCGTGTTCTCCTGCCTTCGCGCTGCCTCAGCCAATCAGCGCACAGCGGGCGGGGCTTGTCTGAATACAGGTGGGGGAAAAAACCACACACGCGTATTCAGGCAACCCAAGCAGACTACGCGCTGATTGGCTGAAGCATTCCGCCTGCTATCCCCCGCCCTCAAAACACGTATTCAAACAAGCATTGCCCGCTACGTGCTGATTGGCTGTCCGCCTTCCGGGCTGGGATTAGATCATACCCATAAGCAGGCCGTCTATTGGCCAATCCCAGCGTTGACGTCACGGTTTTAAAGGAACACTGTAGCATTTGGTTTACAAGACTACAAACAAAAATTTACTCATATTCTTTTTTAACAAGGTTACGAATTTAAAGAAATGGTGCTTCAATTGATAATAAAAACTGTCTGAATTAATGTTCAGAGTTCTAACAGTTAAATAGCAGAACAGGAATCTACATGTTTCACTCTCTGCACTACTAATTAGAAGTCAGAAAAAAATCCTTCAAATAAAATGTTAAGGCAGGCAGGTCACACAGACTTAAATTAACAACATAAGATTTAGTTGCTGTGCAGCATCCTGTTCAAAAAATGTGTTAAAAAATGATACACACGCACACACTCTGTATTATTTTACTGACGTACAGCAAAACGTACAGATTGTTCTTTACTCTTTACTCTTTACTGAGTTTATTTAACGCTGTTTCACCAGAAACAGAAACGGAGCAGTTTTATTACAGAAATTATATTAATACAGGTCAGGTCTAAAGTGCACTTACAGGGACGTTTTCACAATTAAACATAGTGATTCAGAGTGGTTTGGTGTGAAATGCTCGGTTCTACAGAACTTACAGAGTCAGAATTGTTCACAGTGGTGGTGATATGAACCAGACGTCCTCCTCTAAAAGCTCCCTCACAGAAAGTTACTACATGAAATGGTTATGAACTCACTGCCTGATGTCTGTGACATTGTTTTACGATAGTTTTGAGACCTTAAACTCCGTTCATGGTGGAGGGATACATAATATGCAGGGTGCTGTGGGGCAAAATAGTCCTCAAAGAAAACATATTATTTCAGATTTTCCACTATTTTCCCATCATCAACATTCCATATAATACTCAGAAGACACATGTGGGTTCACTGGTGGTTTTCAAGATTCAAGAGTTTTATTCATATGCACAGCAGAAACAGGCAGTTACACTGTACAATGAAATTCTTACTTTGCTGTTCCTCCATTCACCAAATATATATTAAATACACTGAATAAGTAGAAATACACTAAAAACAATAGTAAAAAAGTAAAAAAGTACAGTTATATGTGCAAAGTCGAAAGAAAAATTAGTTACATGTGCATATGTGCAAGTATGTAGAGCCGCAGTTCATAAAGTGCATGTTGCAAGTCACAGATGTAAACAGTAGTGCTCTGACAGCAGCAGTACAGTGTATGTAAGGTGCAGTTATTGAGTGCAAGTCAGCCAAAAGTTAAACCAGTTCAGAGTGGGAGGGGGGAAGAGGTAGTGAGTGAGGTTTTCACAAGCCTGATGGCCTGTGAATAGAAACTGTTCGTCAGTCTTGTAGTCCTGGACTTGGCGTCTGCCTGAAGGTAGGAGTGTGAAGGGTCTGCGCTGGGGGTGTGTACTGTCCCTGATTATATTGTGGGCCCTCCTGATGACCCTGGTGTAATAAGTGTCCTGTAGTGAGGGGAAGGCTGCTCCTGAGATGGACTGTGCAGTTTTGATCACACGCTCGAGAGCCTTTCTGCCCTGAGCAGTGCAGTTTCCATACCAGACCATGATGGAGCTGGTAAGAACACTCTCGATCGTACTCCTGTAGAAGGTGCTGAGAATTTTGGCAGGCATGCCAAATTTCCTCAGCCTTCTCAGAAAGTACAGTCACTGCTGGGACTTCCTGATGATGAGGTGTGCGTTGTGAGACGAGGTGAGCTCCTCACTGATGTGGATGCCAAGAAACTTGAAGGTTTTCACCCTCTCCACCTCTGTCTCACCTATGTACAGGGGTGTGTGCAGCTCCCGCTTCCTCCTTGGATCAACAATCATTTCCTTTATCTTATCTGCATTCGAGGAAAGATTGTTGTCATGACACCAGGCCACCAGCTCAATCACCTCCTTCCTGTATGCTGTCTCGTCCCCACCAGTGATCAGACCAATGACTGTGTACAGAAGGGGCCTCAGCACACAGCCCTGGGGGACCCCTGTGCTCACTGTTCTTGTGCTGGATGTGCAGCTGCCGACTCTGACTGACTGGGGTCTGTCTGTTAGAAAGTTCAGCACCCAGTTGCAGAGGGCGGGTGTCATTCTGAGGGTGAAGAGCTTTTCTGAGAGTTTGTGTGGGATGACCGTGTTAAATGCTGAGCTGTAGTCAATAAAGACCATTCTGACATACTTGTCCTTGCCCTCCAGGTGTGTGATGGCTGTGTGAAGGGCAGCGTTGACTGCGTCGTCTGTGGACCAGTTCCGACGGTATGCAAACTGGAGAGGATCTATAGTGTTCGGAATGGTCTCCTGGATATGAGTCATGACTATCCTCTCGAAGCACTTCATCACGATTGGTGTAGATAGTCATTTAGGCAGGTCACAGCGCTTTTCTTTGGGAGGGGCACAATGGTGGTGGCCTTAAAGCAGGATGGCACAAAAGCTTGCACGAGGGACAGATTGAATATGTCCACAAACACGTCAGCCAGTCCTGATGAGCAAACCCTGAGTGCACACCCGAGGATGTTGTCTGGGCCGGCTGCTCTCTGTGGGTTTATTCTCTTCAAGGTCCTGTGCACATCCACTGATGTCACAGTGAGCGATGTGTTCTGTGTGCTCTCCTTGGCCGTAACATCTCTCAGTCGGCCAGGGTTGAGGGCCTCGAAGCGAGCATAGAACTCATTCAGCTCATCAGGTAGTGTAGTGTGTCTGGTTGCGACCACCCTGCTCGTCTGTTGGTAGTTGGTGATGTGCTGCAGTCCTTGCCACATGCGTGCCAGTCCGTGGTGTTGTAGTATTCCTCCAGCTTCAGCCTGTACTGTCTCTTGGCCTCTCTGATAGATCTACGCAGGTCGTATCTGTGTCTCTTTTGTAGTCTTCAGCGTTGCCTGACAGAAATGCAGCACGGCGAGCATGTAGCATGGACCGAACTTCACAGTTTATCCAGGGGTTCTGGTTGGGGGTATTTTCTGCAGCGCTTTGTAGGAACAATGGTTTCAATGCAGCTGCTGATGTAGTTTTGGATAGTAAATAAAACATCAATATTTGTGTTACCACCCCTGTAAAGAACTCTGAACCATTTCACACCAAACCACTCTGAATCACTCTGTTTATACCTAAAACATGGGGGAATTTATGAAAATCAGTGGAATTAATGTCACCAAATCTGACTGTATAAACTTGTGATAAGTGAGATGTGTTAACTATAAAAGATCACTTTATCCTCAGACTCTGTGCTGAGGGCTGATGGCTTTCTATCTACTTTAACTCAGGGAGTTAAACACATTTACTGACCAACGTCCTTCACAAACTAGCCACTGACCCCTCAGAGACCCTGTGTGTGTGTGTGGGGTGGGGGGGTGTAATGGGGTAAAGGAGGTGTTTGGACCTTTAGGTCCTCATCTACAGCTCCATGTTTGTCTTTGATCAGCTCTAATTTCACAGCTTTTTCCTGGAAGAGGGGACTGAAGAGCCTGAGGGACAGAGGAGAACATCAGCCCTCTCAAAACTTCAGTTTGTGTCTTTTCCTCAGGCTGGATATTTAGGTTTAAAGCTCAATAAAACGTTTGGGCTTTTTTCGAGGGCAGTTCTACACCGCCGCTCAGTTTGTGGAAAATCACATTTACACAGCAGAGAGCCATGACTGACAGAGTTTCAATTAGAACTATTAGAACAAAGTAGATTACTAGCACAACGCAATGTTCAGCACAGAGTAGAAACAGCAGAGGAACAAAGCATACAATACTTTTCACAATGTAATGGAGAACAGGAAAAAAAAGTACTTTGTCTTCCAGAATGAAAATGTGTTTAATGATGTTATTATTTACTTAATCTTCACAGAATTATGATCACATCAATAACTTCAGTTCAATAACCAGTTTGTTTAGCAGTGCTGCTGTGTGAGCTACATTGTATGGAGTTTGCTATACGACAGTAAAATGAGTGAACTAGTAATTAGAAACTAGTAACTAATACTGTCATACAGTGACATCTACTGTTTATCATGTAAGCTAAACACTCTTTACATGTTTAATGAGCACAGGTTTAATGATGCAGGCTGGAATTTGTGCTAATGCCTGTTACTCTGACAAAAATAAAGATGCCAGGTGTCTCGTCCAAGCGAATGGGCAGTTTTAAAAACCTACTGTACAGGGCTACGTACAGTAGGCTACGCTAACCTGGTAGCTAACGTTAGCATATGTGTTTAGCGATCCTCTCTGACCAATCATCAGTCTGCGTGTTTTTTGTCACCTTCTGGTATCAGCTCACTTGGACCCTCGACGAAGGTGAAACCAAAAATAGCACCAGGTACCAGGTTTGCCTAGAGAACCAAAGAAGGCGAGTCGAGTCAAGTCGGTACCATGCAGTGGAAAAAGCTGCTTCAGTGTGTCATAATTCTGGGATTACAAAGGGGTTAAAAGGTTCTGGCTGAGCTCCTGGCTCAGGTTTCAAAATGAGTTTTAAACATATATGTACTTCAAACTTTCAATTTTAAAACAAAAATAACGTAGTAAGTTATATATAGTTTATAAATCTGTTTATTCTCTCACTTTGGGGGGGTGGGATGGGGGGTTTAGGGTCACTCTGAGCGAAGTGATCTGAAAGGATTCTTTATAACTGACACAAAATCAAAAGTAAAACTGGATTCTGGACTCTGAGATCCTGACTGGATGATGAAATCAGAACCTGATCCAGGGTCAGTGCTGCCATCTAGTGTCTCACTAATAAACACAGTTATTCTCCATCATGTAAGGCCACACAAATACAGAATATTAATCATCAGCTA